GTGGAAGCACGGAGCAGCGTGGGAATCTCGGGGGGAAGGCGCGGGGGGTGGGAGGGAAGTAACCAGCCAGACCTGTGTGCGTCCACGCGTGGCCCACGGACACGGACCATTAGATGGTGAGGCCTGGGGCCGGGGTGGGCCGCGGGGGCTGATGGGGAGAAGGGGGACATAAGTAATACTTTCAACAATAACGATTTTTTCTGAAGTGAACTGTAACTAAAATAAACATTTACATGAGCACTCTCAGCTTCACTCACTTTCTGGCTTCCCGGCTTCTCTTCTGCAGGACCAGGCCCCCATCTAGTGACTGGGCTGGGGAACAGCTGCCTGACCGTTCCCGCCTCAGAATCTCATAAACCGAAGCCCGTCCTGTTATTCCTCTGCTGAAATCCCTTTGCCGGGCTTCCACCGCCCCATCGTTGCTTTTGGATTTGTCTCCCCGTTAAGAAGGCCGGGTAGATAACCACGGAGCCGGAGCTCCCGTCCCAGAGGAACTGCCTGTGTGCGAGTCTTATGCCTCAAACCTCCCTCTCCCTTCCTCTCTAAAATATATATATTAAAATAAAGAATGTTCCCGTCTCTCTCATTCCCCTGTTGCGGCTCCTGTTCCCAAGCCAGGATGTTAGGTTCCAGAGAGGCCGTGGGCGAGAACACTCTGTCCTTCTGGATGTTTTGGCTCTAATTTCCACCCCAAATGGGGTTGCCCCTCTCCTTCTTCTTGGCCAACTTCTCTTCCACCAATATAAGCGCATGCTGGAGGCTGGTGGGCAGTCATGCATTTTACGGCAGGCCCCACACACAGCCGGAGTCTGGGGCCCCTGGGCCTCCACGGCACCCCCCAAGCTCTGTACATGGTCCACTTAACAGTGCTGGTCGTGATGAGCTTGGTGTTTGGTAAGTGGCTCGAACGGATCCGAAGGCCTGCTGGGTAGAGGAACCCACAGATACCAGGTGTTGGGGACATCTGCCCAGGCAGGAGGAAAGATGGGATGAGTGGGCTTGCTGGGATAATGCCTGGGCACTGTTAATGCGCTGATGGTCACTCTGAGGGAGACATCTAGTGACACCCCAGGGTTGTCTCACTTAACAGCAATGACCTGAATGGAGTTACTGAAGGGAACCCATTAACATCTCAGGACAACACAGAATAGGGAGGGTTTGGGGAGCAAGCTGATGACAGCACCAGATCCACAGGGTAGGAAGAGGCTGGATCAGCCTCAGAGCCTCCTCACTTGGCTGCAAAGCACCATCGCCATAGAAACAGAATTCAGAACATTTGTCAGCATCTGTCTCACACCAAGTGCTCTGCTGGGACTGGGGACTCATTAACCTGTGGTCTTGGCCAGGGACCAGAGGAAGAGGGAGATAGATGTACAGTCAGTCCTCCATATGTGCGTGTTCCGCATCCCTGGATTCAACCGAGGATGAAAAATATTTTTTAAATGATATTGTTGCTGATGTGTACTATGTAGTTAGGCCTATGATGGTTGTGTCTGTACTGAACATGTACAGACATTTTTCTGTCTTTATTCCTTAAAGAATATAGTATAACATCTATATACTAGTATATAGTATTTACATTGTATTAGGTATTATAAGTAATCTATACATGATTTAATGTATTTGGGAGGATGTGTATAGGTTATATGCAAATACTACATCATCTATAATAATAAAAGCATAATATGCTAATTAGACTAGACAACCAAACAACCTTCCGGACATCCTTCCAGACAACCTTCTGGACCAAGCCAGGGCTGTGAGGGTGGAGGCAGCTGCCGCGGTTGCATGGGGCCTATTTTTATATAAGGGACTTGAGCAGATTTTTGTATCAATTTGGAACCAATCCCTGTGGATACCAAGAGATAACTATATATGCATGTGGTTGGGAGGGCTTTGGTGGACAAAGTTTAATATGAGTCTGTCCTGCCCCAGCTGGTTTGGATCAGTGGATAGAGCACTGGACTATGGAACGAAGGGTCCCAGGTTCAGTTCGGGTCAGGGACACATGTCCAGGTTGTGGGCTCGGTCCCCAGTTGGGGGCGTGCAGGAGGCAGCCGGTTAATGATTCTTTCTCATCATTGATGTTTCTATCTATCTCTCTCACTCTCCCTCTCTGAAATCAATAAAAATTTTAAAAAAGTGTGATCTTAATATTAAAAAAAAGAGAGAGAAATGAGTCTGTCCTGTGATAGGACCACCGAACAAAGAATGTGGGCCTGGTCTGCTTGAAATCTCTTGTCTGCACAAAGCAGAGATTCTTCATATCCTGTGATGCTGTATTCTTGCTTTTACTTCTGGGTTTGTTTGTTTTTAATTGATTTCAAAGAGGAAGGGAGAGGGACAGAGGGGTTGAAACATCAATGATGAAAGAGAATCATTGATCTGCTGCCTCCTGCACACCTCCACTGGGGATCGAGCCTGCAACCCAGGCATGTGCCCTTGACTGGAATCAAACCTCCTGGTTCATGGGTCGAATCTCAACCATTGACCCACACTGGCTGGGCCGGATGGTTGTAAAGAATTGGTGATTTTATGGTTTTCTGAGATGGGGGAGGGAAACAGTGGGGTTGACCTGGAAAATAGGCAGCATGGGGTCAGAGTTTGTCCGTGTTCTAGGTAAAACTGAACCTGTCAATCAAGAGCCCCCTTATCCACCTGAGTTCCCCAAATACCTGCGCTGCTATCGGTGCCTCTTGGAGACCAAGGAGCTGGGGTGCCTGCTGGGATCTGACATCTGCCTGGCCTCCCCTGGCAGCAGCTGTATGACTCTCTTCATCAAGAACAGTAAGCTGCCTTCTGTGTGTCTGGGGCCCAGATCCGAGTCCCTACATTTCCCAGCCCCAACTCTCCTTCAGAGCCAGTCCCTGTCTCCACCGCCACCGCCACCGCCACCGCCCCCGCCACCGCCTGCCCTTCTCAGCCCACAGCTGAGTGTCCCACCCTCCGCAGGCGCCAGCCTGGAGATGGCCAGCTACCTCTTCCAGTCTCCTTCACCCTTAAGGGTTCATGTTCTTTGGCTACCTTCCCACTTCACTCTCCCAGAGGAACTTACCTGCTTCCCTGGCGTCCGCACAGCCACATCAGAGTCTGAGCGGTGGCCACACTGTCCAACAAATTGCCCTCTGGACACCTCCCCTCAACTTTCCACTTGCCCCAAAATGTCCATCCCTTTGTTCTTCATGCTGGTTCTTCTACCTGGCCGCTCACCTTCTTAGTTAACAAACCCTAACACAGCCTCTGGGCCAAGCACTGTGCTAGGCACTTACAGCCCTCTGAGGTGTTCCACAGCTGAGGAAAGAGACCGGGAAAAGCCCACACCTGCCGTCCCCACGGGCTGAGCCACAACCTGTGGTGGCTCCAGAGATGGCGCTCAACCACCACTGCAGGGAGCTGCCTGTATTCACATCGCCTCGCACCCTCCCACATAGCTGCACACCCTTGGTTCAACACTGTCCCCAGCTCCCACGCACGAAAACAAAAACCACTCTTTTGTCTGGATTCCCCTTTCTGTGATCTTTTTGGGCATCCCACCCTATATATATGTACTCTACCTTTACCTCCTTCTCCCGCAAACAGGACATAGCCCTGTAGACACTGTTCTGCACTTGCTTTTTAAACTTAACAGTTATGGGAACGTAACGTTTCCCTAGCGGTTTGTCAACAGTGTCCGTGCCCCACCAACCCACACACAGCGCTCCTCGCCTGGGCGTCAGGCCCACCTGTCATCCCGCTGTAGGACTTGTAGGACCTGGTGACTTCCGCTCTTCAACTCTCTCAGGCAGGGATTTTTCACCGTCTAATATCGGGCGGCAAAACAGAGTTAATATAATAAGACTCCTTCTCCTTGGCACTCCCTGCCCTGCCCAGTTCCAGGAGTCTCTGC